ACTCACTCAAGGTCATCCAAGGCTTCTTATTACCCAGGGACATAGCTGTACATAACTCAATCAAGGTCATCCAAGGCTTCTTGTTTTCCTGGGACATAGCTGTAGATAACTCAATCAAGGTCATCCAAGGCTTCTTGTTTTCCTGGGACATAGCTGTACATAACTCCCTCAATGTCTTCCAAGGCTTACTTAAAGAATGAGATCTTATTCTAACCACTAGTTCTGTTTTATAAATCTGTCAGAGATATATTTAATAAAAATTTAATATTAACCACAGTTTGAAATGAGAACCAAAGAGAAACGAGAAGCTGAACAGTACAAGAATTAACATCCGGAGGAAGTAGCACGGGAAAAAGAGGAACGTAGGAGGAACTTAATACAAGAATTCTTAGCCCCAGAACAACCGTACGTATACTTCTTTCCAAATGTTCTCTTCCATACATTTCCCATTTGAGGAACAGTACTGTAAATGTTATCTCAAATGTAGTTTTCGGTGTACAGTACACCATCTAAACCGACCACAAAATTTGGTACTAGCGGAGAAAATGAGAAACAAAAGAGTCTCTACAATCCCGAACATCAAACAGAGAACACGGCATATCTAATTTTGAAGTAGTTCAGTTTAAATATATATTCTAACTGAAAATGAATGGTACATGAAACTTAACTTAATAAAAATCCTAGTGACGTGGTCATATGTGATGTGTATGTTGCGGTATCTGTGCTATAGCATTCAAGTGAGGTGGCACTATAAATGATGCCGTTGGAAGTACAGTCCCACTACAAAAAGAGCACATTACATCTCTAGCACACACACAGGCATATACACATAGGGAAATATTAGCCAGGTGGCATAGGGCTAGTAGTTAGCGCCTGATAAGGCAGCCCCTGCGAATTCCTCAAAATTGTATTGATTGATGTATACATGCTAATTGTATTAATTGTATATATCTATGTACTGTAAAGCGCTTTAGAGTGGCTTATGTTAGCTAGATAGGGCGCTATATCAAATGTTGTATATTGTTATTATTTATTATTATATTTACACTACGCAGTAAAAGACCAATGTAATGAAGCTGTTTTAATGTTCAGCATTGAACTTGTATCAAGAGAAATAAAATATACTGTGTTAGTGGAAATTGCTACTGGTATTATTGTAACACATTGTAATTGGAAAATCCTTTCATTTCACAGACCTACCCCGGAGCCCGAGCCTGAAGTGTCGGTGCAATCAGATGTTGTTGATGGAGAACCGTCTGCAGCTGAGGAGGGACAGATCACAGCTGAGTCTGAACCAGTTGCTGAGGCTGCAGGTATGGTTATATTTCATCACTGTCTTCGTGTCCTTGTACAGTTCTACTGTTGTGGTCAGTTGTCGTATGTACCACTGTTTAGTACTGACAGATTTATTTCAGCATTTAAGAAGGACCTAACCACCAACACAGTAGATTACATTGTGTATGAGTATTGTTTTAAAAGCATGTTTACCAAAGCCTGATTTCTGTAGTTTATCTTTGTAATATTTGTTGAGTTTGATAACTTTTTTTCTTCTTTAGGTCCTATGTTTCATTCTTAACACTGTTTTAGTTGATTGTAATCTTATTGAGATACAATTAGTATGTTTTAATGCTTATGATGTTGTAGTATTTGTAGTCATTTCACACCGTCACAGACTTAATAATTTTCTGACAAAATGCAAGACAAAGGAAATATTAGACCTCAGTACCTAACTAACCCTGTAGTATTAAACCATATATCTAAAAGCTTGCTGATGATATACTGTACTCAAAACACTAAACGTCTATACTGGTTTGTTGAATGGTCAGTGGATGAACATTACATGTATATGCATTGGCTGTGTTAGCTGTAACACTGAAACCATGAAAGATGTACTCTACTCACCCACTCGGTCAGTTAACAATCGCTTTTCCTGCAAGGACTATTAAATGTATATAACCAGAAATACAAAGTGTCTGGGACTTGGAAAACTGAAACCCAAGAGAATAAAGCTAACAAGCAACCATTGTAACTTTTGTTCTGTGGCTATATATTATGGCTGATATGTGGGTCATTGTTGCATGTAGCTGACTGTTGTTGTGTCCAACAGGTACCTCAGGGCGGTCAACCTTGCCAAGGTCCAAAGGCGTTAAAGGTGAACAGCATCCTTTGTTACTGTGTGGGTGTGGTTCTCATTATAGTTACTACCCGTCATATCTAGCATCATGGCAGTTCTACTGACAGTGCATGCTCCATGGTCAATGGATACCTTAAAATAACATATCCTTAACCACATCATCATTACCTTGTCCTGTAAGATCATAAAAACCTGAAAAGACAGGAATATTTATTGTACACAAAACTGCCCTCCATATTCCAATACCCTATTTTAAAGTTTCAGACTTTTTCCAAATCAATATTTTATTACCTTCATTCTAAACTTGCCTAATCCTAAACCATATTTTGTTATTTTCATCCTGAATTTTACATCTTACTCTATCCCTTTATAGGGAGGAATATGCTATTACAGCTGAACACATTTTCATTTCAGTTATAATTACCATAACTAGGTATGCAAATTCAGTACCTACACCTATCTTTGTAGCCTACCCAAAAAGTAGAAAATCCCTGCCCTCCTTCCCCTCATCTTACTCTGTTCGTTTATATGGAGGAATCTGATATTATAGGTAAAACACATTTTATAACCTTTGATAAAACAATGGATTTCCTTCAAATATTGAATCTTTTACGAAACTTGTGAAAAAGACTTCAACTAATGTTAAAAATCCCCCCCCCCCCCCCCCCAATATTGATACTAGACTATTGAGTCATTGTTGGTGTGATATCTGAAAGTTAAAGGAAGCAGTGGCCTATATTGGGCGTGGCTAACTCTGATTATCTGTGACAGGAGTCTTGACTGGACCGTCAACTCTGCCCCGATCCCGGGGACAAAAAGGTGGTACACCCTTAGTGTTATTGTGGGTTTGAGCTCAACTTTTCATACTGCATAACCCTCAGACATGGTGTGAACTCTCTATAACCGCTTATATCTGTCCAGTCCCTGCATCTTGATTGAACATCCATGGTACTACATCAAGTGTTCTGGAATGCTGAATTCTACTCCCAGGTTTATTGTTGGAATCACTCCCTAGTAATACAGGTTCTGCTTAAAAC